ACGGACATTGCACAAAACCAATATACTAATTCACTTCGTGAATGAGTATAAAAAACATAATAAAATTGTTACCTTGGCAAATATGTTGATGCTACTACAACATGGCAAGCAACAATTAATGTTTCATTTAATATAAAAAATGTTTTTTATTTTCATTTTTTTATATGTGTATAATTGATTATTCGCTTTGCAAATATTATGCCAGTTGCCTAGAATGTAACTCATTTATGGTTTATACTCTCATTACACTGAATGGTACGAAGTTTGCGAAATATAGCTGAACTAGTTATTCGCATGCAAAGCAAGTTATCTATGGTAATAACTGTAGATTTAACTATAAAGCTGCATTTAGCTCAGTTTAAGCAATGAAGAGTTTGGACTGGGACTGAGCAAAAAGAAATCAATAAATAGCACTTCGACTTACATTAATCAGATCACAAAATTCTTAAAAAATATTTCAGACTTCTAATAAAAATGAATTTAAAAAAAAATAAAAATAAATAAAAAATAAAATACAATAAAATAAATAATATTATATATATTTATATTATTATATATATTTTTTGTATATAAAAATATATTATTATTATTTATCGTTTTTATTTGTATAAGTATTTTTTTTACATATTTTGATTAAGGTAAAGTATACAACAATAAATAAAAAACGCTATATTTTTAATTTTTTTTCTTTTTACTTGTACAGTTATTAATGTACTCCATCAACAAAATGTATATCTACAGCTCCACATCTGTGACACAGCTTCAGTTGTTTTGTTACTCAGTTCCGTCAATTGTTGTGCATGATTTCAGCTCAAAGCTCAGCCCAACAAATATTTGCACATTAAGCTTGAGCAACATATTTGTTGTTGTTGTTAGTTTTGTTACTGTTTTGCTGTTGTTGCGAATGTTTTAAGCCCACTTCAAATGTTAATAGCTAATTGTTTGCCCAGCTATGTTTGCCAAAGGAACTGAAGTCTTGAGATCTAAGTGCTGTCTATGCAAAAATCTAGCCTTACTGTACTTATTCGTACTTGATACGGGTTATTGCCCATATAAACAATAATACATCATATCTATATGTATGCAACATACCAACAATTTATTACAATGAAGCCAAGTAAAGTGAAGTGATCTATAAATATAAACTATATATAAAGCATGGGGCTTTGACTCATGTGTAGATAGGTGTGTCTTGGATGAGGTTGATGCCACGAAGGCTGTTCAGATATTGGAACTTCCGCTATATATCAGCTACGCAGAAATTGCTGCTCATCGCTGTCAAGTCATAAAATACACAGAAGGACTGTGTGTTATTGAAGTCGGCTGGGCTCAGCACGGTGATCCACAAAGCTCTAGCTAAAAGCGCACTTCTGCAATGACTCAGGTGTGGGGCGATCGTGCGTGCAGGTATTAAGGGAAAGCTTCACAACATATTGCTGCTATATATTTAGTTTACTTTAATTTATATTTTAGTTGAACTTAGTCGATGATCTATAACCACAAATTCGTACGGAAAGCAATGCCATGCCAGTAGACTGGAATATCTAATTGATCATCATCTTGATCATCA